GAGAGAGAGAGAGAGAGAGAGAGAGAGAGAGAGAGAGAGAGAGAGAGAGAGAGATTGTGATTTATTCACATTATTGATATTAATTGTATTATTTATATACACTTACATTATTTATTTTATTAATTTGGTTTATCTTGATCGTATGGTTTATATTTTGTTTTTCTCTCTCTATTTTTCTTTATATCTTTTTCCAGTTTTAGTGCATATTGTTTACAAAATCTGATTATATTGTTCACACTGTATGCACTGTGTACCTTCGATTACATCGCTTACACCGCGCACACTATTTGCACTGTTTACATTGTTTGTATGTTTACATTGTGATGTCGTTAAACGTACAGCGAAATTCACCGTGTCCGGCGACAGGTAGCGCTGTTGGAATACATGTACCCGAAGAAACATTCAATAAAAAGCGTGTCCGCGGCGTAGAAAAATTTTTTCGCAAAATTGACTATTTATTTGCAGTTTATTAAACAGTTACGTAATCATAACGAAAATTCTACAATAAGGAAAGGCATGCCGTCCTCCCGTGCGAAATAAATAAAATTTATATTTAGGCAGCCGCATTTTGTATGCTGAATGTGTGTGTGCGCACGTGCGTACTAGTAATACAGCCTAAATTAATTTAATAATGTTTTACCGTTCTTCCTACGACCCTCCGTCTCCAACGATACGAATTTGTTAAAGATATTGTAAAGCTCAATATCGCATTTTCAATGCCGCATCAAGAGCACTGCTCATAAACTTACTACTTATCCAATAAAATTATGTTTTACATTAATTCCATTACCTGAGTAATGAATGTTAATTTCAGACAAAGTTTAGATAGATAAATATATATGTACACAACATCATGAGAAACATTATATCTTTTTATTTTTCTTATTTATTTGTGTATTTGTTGATCTAATACAGATGCATAGATAATAAGAAAAAGTAAATAAATACTTAAGTATGCGTATGTATCTTGTATGTGTTACTGTAAATTTTATAAACATTCTACTATATTTTTCAAATAAGACAGTTAATAATTCTGAAATATGCATAATGTATAATGTCGGTACATTACATAGTTTTTAATGTAAAAAATTTTTCATTAAAATCCTAATTTTAGTTTGCAAGGAATTAAAAATAAACACTTAAAATAGCATGCCAATTCCAAAGAACAAGTATAAAAAGTATCAGACATCTCAATTCTAGAATGATCAATCTTTTTCTAATTGTACGAGAAATTAGAAAATAATTAAATTTATATGTAAGTTTTATATGTGTGTGTAAGTTTTAATAAATTCTTTTCAATGAATCAAAAATTTATTTTTTTTTACGACTTCCTCAAGAGAGAAATTTATATTATTATATATCATTAATACATATTCTCTTGTAAGCTTATTCTGTAACTGTTAACAATAGTATTGTCATACTGCTGTTGCGCAGATATAATGATGGAAAACATTCAGTAGTCAGTATTCCTTGCGATGTTCGCCAGTTTTTTATGCTCTTACACGAGGTTTTTTAATATTAAGATGTATGAAGATTTATGCATTATTTATTAATTATTTTATTTATTTGTTTTAATCCCCATCACAATATTTGATATTAATATTTGATAAAATCCACTCAAGCGTGCCGCAAATAGGCAAAACGCTGGTCATTGGATATATTTTCCTATAAGAAGAGATTATTTCTTATACGGGGTGAAAATAGTTTTGTTGTATTAACATGAATAATATTAATTAACGGAACTTCTGGTTCTTAGAGCCCAATTTAGGTTATAAGAAAAAATTCTGTCATTCAGTCTCAAATGTGTTGACTCGTTATTTAAAGCCAAACTTCACGTTAATACAAATTTGTTTCTCGTGAGTAGAAAATTTCGCAATGACAATATAACGACACTGTCGTAAAAATTACAGTTAGGTTTACTGAACAGTGTACAGTGTGATGGCTGTGCAGCGAGGGACGGGTTGGGAAAGAGGGCGGAGGGAGACAAGGGACGAAAAGAACAATACTTACTTCGTTTCACGTGACCATTTCGCTTCCGACGCTTCCTCACGTGTCTCACTTGGGCCTTCGCGAGATACCGCGAGTACTCATACGTGATACATGATTCTCGTCGGGGAGAAGGTAGAGAGAGGAAGTTTTTAGTCGAGAACGATTGAGTAGCGCACGGCTTCGCCGCTGCGAGTGAGTCGTCGAAGGCCGAAGGAGAGCAGCCGAGGGAACACAGTCGACGAGTAAGTTGGAGCAGCGTGGCGCGTCGCGCTACGATGAGATGGTAGTGGCGCGCAAGGGAGGGGAAGGCGGGAGCAAGGGAAGAAGGCGACGATGGATATACTTGACTGGCCGCGAGATGGCGCGGCGCGACGTGGCACGGGCGTATCGGTGGAAGCGCGAGGAGGGAGCGGGACGGAGGGAAAAGAGAGGAGCCGGTGGGGTGTTGAGCCGGCAGCAGCGGCAGTTGCGACTCGAACGGCGAGTGGTTCGTGTATCGTTTTGTCCCGTCCTGTACGTGTGCTCCTCACGCCGCGGTCGGAAATTTCTCCGTTCCCTCTCATTTTTTTTGTTTTCCATTATTGTTGTATTGCGTGTGCAACGTAAGAACGACGTGGACGAAGGTCCCGCGCGATCGTCGTCTCGTTTTCATCCGCGACTTTTTTTCTTACGCGCCACGGATCTTAGCGGCCCGTCGCGGGAGATCGCGTAACAATAAACCCGAGGAGAACGAGCGGCGAAGTGTCGGTTGTATATTGCCGGACGCGTCGCGTCGAGTGACGCGCACAAGCGCCTGCGCGCGCGCGCGCGTTTGCAAACGCAAAGTGGTGTTCTCTTCCAGTGTTACGTTTTATTGTGCCAAATATCGGTTTCTTTCTTCTTTCTCTCTCATACATACATAACGCACACACACGCGTATACACACATATACACACACATACATACACTCTCTCTCTCACTTTCCCGTGTGAGCTTCCTTCGAGGACCTCTTCGTAGAGAGACGGGCGACAAGCACTGTCGCCTGAACGTACTGTGAGTGCATCTTTGCTTTGAGAGAGAGAGAGAGAGAGAGAGAGAGAGAGAAAGAGAGAGGAGAGCTCTGTTCTTCCTCTTCGGGGACTTGTGTAGCGAACGGTCGTTTGACAGCGGGGGATATTCGGTGTGACTCGGCGCACGCTCACCGACCGATCGACTCTGCTTTCTTGGTAAGTTCATCCTTCGTTTCTCGATTCTCTTCACACCACCTCGAGATTAACTTTGGACTCTGAACCGAGTCGAAACTGCTGTCGCGAGAGAACCAACGGTGGGTTTCTCTGCGTTAAATGTGTAGTTTTTGCTTTCCGTGCATTTTCAGACGCGGATGTGTCATACGCATACGCAACGTATGAGTTCTGTCAACGTTGCGCGGTTTTCGCGGAAAATTTCGCTCGATTTCCTTCGCAGCATGTAAATCTTTGCGCCGATACTTTCTGTATCTAAAGAGTAACAATAATATTGCGACTGGTTGCTTTCGATGATGAATGAGCGATATGTGTCGCGTTTGTTTCCTGCTTAACGTGAAACGTCTATTAAAATCGATAAAAAGGAAAGAAAGAAAAAAGGGGACTTGTCAGCGAAGATTGAATAGGTTGAAACGAAGCGTCGTGCGTGGCTCGGGCGAGAACCGCTGGCACAGGAGTAATAGTGCAGAAAAGTGTAGAGAGCACACACGCGACGTCACCGAATCGAGAATCGCGGTTTTTCAGCGCGACTAGTCCAGTGTTCATACGCGTGTTCCATCTTCGTCAGAGAATTTGTCATTGACATTAAAGTCGCGAATTCTGGGACACCGGATAGCGTATATCAACACGTCCAACGATACCGCGACGTGATCGTTACAAAATGTCCGTTCTTTATTTTTCCCAAAAAATTCGAATTTTTAAACGAAGGGAATTTTGCATGAAGACAATGAAAATTGAAAAAGCGAATAAAACAAAAAAAAAAGAGAAGAATTCTACGTACAAATGTCTACAAATGATACGTCTTACGTCCAACGACATGTACAGGTTATTTGACAATAAGTGACGAAGTAAACGTTTGTGTACATATACAATGTATAATGTTCGTATACATATATAATATTGTATCCACATATTTCAACGTTTTTCTTGAAACCTATAAAAGATAATTAAATTAAGTTACAATAAAAAGTTGTTTCTTTTTTCAAAGCTTTATCCAATAATATTCCACTCGACCCATGTTCTTGTTTGAAATTTTAAAACTGACCCACTTTTACACCCACTTTCGGTTTGTTCAGAAAAATGAACGAGTTATCAATGAGTACTTTGCCCAGTAATAATTATAATTTTTTGCCTAACTTCCTGTTATAATTTTGAGAAAAATGGCTGGCACGGTCTGATCACCCAGTATAGATTACGTCAAACTGAACACAGAATTTTTTTATTATTTATTTTGCAAACAGTCATGTAAAATTTTGATTTATTAACTTTTTAAAGTAAATAGGGAGGTCAATCGTATTCGCGCGTTTTTAATGCCTCATGTCCAACACAATTTTGAAACTTAAAATTGTTCAAAAATTTTGGAAGAATTTATAAAGTTTCTATCAAGCTTTAATTAAGATTACGAGATCATTAAGAAAATAAAACTATAAATGAGTTTTTTAATTCTTTTTTTAACAAGAATCTACATTTATCTACGAAAAAGTTCTACTTTGCATTCCTCTTCATCTCGAAGTTTCAAAAGCTTATATATATATATATATATATATATATATATATATATATATATATATATAATTAGTATAGCAAAAACACTTTGAACTCAGGAGCGACAAAACTCGTCAGTTACTGTCTGTTTGAATAGCAGTTGGAGCAAATTGATCCTGGACACAAGTGACTCCCTACTCATTTAATGTATACTTTTTACGTAGATAAGTGAGCAGTTATTTTTCTTTATATATTATATATTTAAATAATTTTTGAAGTTATTTTAATTTTATGTATTTGTCTAATATGTGATATTTTTAAGTTTTAATAAGACCGTTGAGTTGTACAAACACCAGAATAGCTAAAAAATTTTTGCGGATGTATGTTTCTTTTCTAATTTTTTGTGTTTATTATTACATTTGTATAATGCATACAAAATATTATTTTTAAAATATTATTTAAGCTCATTTTCTTATACAAAATACATCATTTTCACGTACCAAAGTAATTCGACTTTGTTTAAGATTTTTATCATAATAAATTATTTGTTTAATTAATTCTTATGGTCTTAAATATAAAAGAAAACATCTTTTTCTTAATAAAAATACAAAACTTAGTAGTTTTTATAGTTTTTTAAACAAAATATCTTTTTCGTAGATTCTCGTTAAAAAAGGAATTAAAAACTTATATAGTTTTATTTTCCTAATGATTTCGTAATCTTAATTGAGGCTTGATAAAAACTTTATGAATTCTTTTAAAATTTTTGAACAATTTTAAGTTGTAAAACTTTGTTGGACATGAGTGACTCCTCCCCCTCCCTTTATTAAGGCGTCGAAAATATACTCATTTATTTAATTAATCTTTTGTTAGTTAAATGCAAAACAGCGAGTGTTGAAAGCAACGACTACTGTTTTTAAAAAGACCCACGAAGCAGATGGTTTCAGTAAAAAAAAATTATATTGTACATTTTCTGTATATATGAGTATTTTTCCATATGAAATAATTCGCAAACAAATATAATGTAATAACGAGTATTTAATCGTTTGTTATTATAATTACTTAATAATATATCATTTGTTATTATAATTACTTAATAATATATCGTTTGTTATTATAATTATTTAATAATATATCAAGAAAATAATGATTATACGAAAAATACCGAGATTCGAACAAGAGATGCTAAGGCTTTTACGATTATACAAGGACGAAATGTATTATAGAGAAATGAAGATATGTTTAACCTAGTTAGAAAGAAAATAAAAAACTGTTCATTACTGTACAAAATGCGAACAAGCAGTATGTGACGATTATCGTGCGCAAGTTTGCCCCAATTGTACAAAATAGATATTACATTTCCATTATTTTTCACAATGTTTTATTTTCCATTAAAGTTTAATGTATATTATATTTGACATAAACGATTTTCCAACTGAAAACTAAGCTTGTGATTATGCCTTCAGAAAACCACCTTGTTTAGATGCTCGGAAAATGATCATTTTCACTGGTCAAAATAATTATACTTTTTTCATCAGACATTCCCAAATTATTTTTTTCGTGAAGGATCATTCTTCAACAATGTAATTCTAAACAGATATATTTCTTTTAAGGTATTGCAAGGTTACGAATTCTTTTCTGGAATTCGAAAAATTATATATTTCCTTTCGTATTTTGCTAAAGAAAAAATTTATGAACAGTGGGAGCTAAACAACGTTCTGGCTAGAAAGTAGTAACCTGAAATAATGAGAGAAAATTTTCCCTCGATTTTTTTATTCATATATCGGGAAAAAAGTGGTACTATCCACAAATGATCCATGAAGCAAACCGCGTTAGCAAAAAACAGCGAAGCAGACGGACGGTTAAAAAAGATTGGCAAATGATCGCGTGCGACAGCCACTGTAAGTTAAAGTAAGTATACACCGGCTAGTGTAACGTCTGTTCCTCGCTTTGCGCGTTTACCTGGTGCGAGACGCTACCGTGTCTCTTGATGAGAAAGGAACAGTACCAAAAGCAACTATCTCTTATTCTGTCTCAGATCCCCAATACTATCTTCACTCTGTGGAGAGAATGTTTGGTCTGTGTGTAAGTACTATTGCTTCACGTCTCACGCAAATACAAGCGGACTTCGAGTGGACAGAGTGGGAAAAAAGGGCAGAAAAGTCCAACGGTAAGACAGACGCGAAGCCGCGTGGCTCTCGGATTCTTCGCAAACGCTTAGACCTCAGGTAATAGGTCTTCCGCGCCTTTCAAGCCGCGCTCTTCCGCGCTTTTCTGCCATCCCTCGTGTGTCTTTTCCTTTTTGCTCTCCACCTAATCCCGAGTCCCAAGTACACACCTATTCCGTTTTAAATGCGGAAGGTGTAACGGCGGTGTTCAGCGCGGCTGTGAAAGCAACAGACCACATAGCGCTCGTTCGATGCAGTTCGCTAAAGGTTTCGAACACGAGAGGCCGTTGTCTCCTGCAATTAAGAATGCCAGGGAGCGAGGCGCGGCGCGGTGCGGTGCGATGCAGCGCGACGCGGCGCGACGAGGTGTGACGCGACGTTTCTCGACGCGCAGCCTGACACGAAGCAGCGCGCGTGGACGGACGGCCGACCGGCTGATTTATTCTCTCTCTTTCTCTCTCGTTATCACTCTCGCTTATTTATGATCCTTCCCTTTTCATGTAAATAAGTAAATAAATAAATTATTACACGTTCACCGCGCGCGCGCGCGCGCGCGAGGCAACGGTTCCGGCGATATTCGCGCATTGCGCGCGCACAATGTATACTGCATTCGTGTAAATCAAGCGACACGGTACCATCGCAACGCTAAGTATAAAGATGAGTATCCTCCGAGAATGACTGGCCCAAGAATGACTATGTTCATGGTATGTGACGATCACGACGCTACCAGCTTTTTTCAGAATTTTTCTAACTAAAATAGCTCGAGAAATAAAACAGTGATTAAAATTCTAATGGTATTCCTGACAGAAACATAAATACAAGCTTTCAATTGCGACCAATCTGATAAAAATTGTTACAGTCATTCTTGAGATCTGGGATATTCTCACAATTCAAAATACAAATTTTCAACAGGTAGTTCTTCTTTCACATATCAATTGTTTAAGTCTCTTATGTGTGGAAATGGTGTTGTAATATAATTTAAGGCTTTTATACGTTATTTGTTTCAAGTATCGTATAAATTCATTTATTAACAAATCTATGTTATAAGTATTACATTTAGTTAAAACACGTTTACAAAGAATTCTACTAAGTTTAGCATTTCAATCGAGAATATTAAATTAAAACAAAAATTCGGTTTATACTTACTACATAAAATTAAACAACTTTCGAAACAACTTCCTTCTCGGAATAATTTCTTAATTTCTTTGTAAAGGGAATAAAGTCTGCTCTTTTGAGTACATGATAGTGAGCTTTTATAAAATTTGTGGTGAGTACATTTTAAGACTATTATCAAGAGAATATTCATTATTGAAGATAACTATTGCATTGATATTAATTGCAAGAAGCAAAATAAACTACTTTTCTCTCTCTCTCTTAACAATGAAATACTATTTTTCTCTATGCGTGTACGTACATAACTGTATTTTTTTTTATTTCGAATATAGTTTTTGGTCGCTTTTTTTATTTTTCCCCCTCCTTTTTTTTGTTTTGTCAACGCGCTTGTCAATCTAGATCGTTGTTCCGACGAGAGCAATTTACTGGACAAAAGTTTGCGCGAGCCCGAGTGTGACGTTGTGTTGTAGGCTTTTGCTGAGCGATGCGAGCGTATATACTGTGTAAAGTTGGGTTGAAGGAAGCTGACGTTTAGCGGAGTTTTCGCGTTGTACGGAACACTGAGCACGGAGTGACGGTGATTTTAATGCGCGTTGCGACGTGAATAAGAGATTGTTTTTTCACGTTCGGAACGAAAATAAAAAGCGTACCGCGATTTTATTATTGCGACAGTAACGCGATTGTCGAGTGACAAAACGCTTAATTGATTGTCGAATTGATCGATGGAGGAGTCAGCTTGAATGGTCGGACGGTTGCAGTCGATTTGCGAAATAGAATGAAGCAAATGTTATCGAATTAATGTTGGCGGAAGGTTAATACGCGAGTGTATCGTGAGATTATATTGAGAGTATTAAAGGTGGAAAAATGATATACTATGCTGGTACATCTAAAAATTAATGCTGTTGAAAAATATTGTCGTAGACACAGGAGTTGAACATAGTCTTTTTTTCCCGTCGGATAGAACATCTTGAATCAACTCGATTAATGAAATCCCCGCATAAACTTCTATATATCTTGTTCTATCTATATATATACATACACATATATTTGTAAAGAGTAAATACTCGAAGTATTTTAAATATTTTGCCCAAGGAATTTTAGTTAATTAAATGAATATTTAAAGCAAAATAATATGTATTTCTATTTTAGAACATAAAAAAGCTTAAATTATATATATATGTGTGTGTGTGTGTGTAACATTTTTTCATGTCCTTTTTAATTTCTAAAATATCAAACTGTAAAAAGTTAAAGTCAATTTTAATTTTTTTAGTGGAATCATATAGTTTTTTGGCATAAATCGATTCCTCTGGTTATTTTACAAAAAACTGGGATGAAAGCATCGAAAAGTGAATATCTGAATGTCCAATTCAAGATAGACAATTCATGCTCAAAACAAGAGTAGGATTCCCAGTTAATATCGTAGTGGGATAACCTATTTTAGGGCAAAACTGAACATTCTGATTGGAATTTAACCTACACCTACACATTTAGAAAAATACTAAGAAAAGTCTTAGCTTAAAATATAAATCTTTATGAAAACGTTAGGGTTAACCAAATCTGTCTGAGTTTCTTACTTAGATTTGCATATTTAAAACATTATATTTCTAACCAAAACCTACATAGATTTTCCATTTAGAATCTACGATTATTTTGGAAAATTGGGTTGGATTCCAAAGTATTTTCTATGCGAGTCATAGTTCAACGTATCATTAGAAACACATTTTGAAACTTTGGAACTCTATTCATTTATCAGTAGTAAATATATTTCCGATAGTAACTATATATAGTATAGTAAATATATAGTATATAGTATATAGTATATAGATATATAGTCTATATAGATATACAGTCTATATAGATATATAGTAAATATATTTCCGATAGTAACTATCTGTATATTCGTGTGCGTTTCCATGCGTGTATGTGTGTTGAAGAGAAAGCTAAATTATTACATTCGTTATTACAGTTAATTTATTAAATTAATTATTGATTATTGTTAATGACTGTAAAATTGCAAAAATTTTTGGAGAATTTTCAATCAATTTCTCTTTGCGATTACTTTAATTACTATTTATTCTTATATATTTTTTATATTGTTAAGTATAATTACTTTGGATTTTTCTCTCGTACAATAATTATCGGCTTGAAATTTGTGTGTATATATTCGATAGCGGAAAGATTGCGACATTTTTCAATTTGATGAATTTTAAGAAGAAAACCGTGAGACTTCGTGCGATTTTTGTTTATCTCACAAGTATTGAAGAGAAACTTGCTGTTTCTTTTTATTATATGATAAACCAACCAGAGTAATTTCCTTGCTTTTGAGGACCGAAAAAAATATTTTTTCTTTTCTATTCTAACCAAAATCTTGTAAAATAAAAGCTAACTTTAGTAATCGAGGAAGAAGGCAAATAGAAGTAGAACATGTGTAATGTTTGAGAGATGATATATTATTATCATGATCCACCCACATATACACAGAAAAAAATATTCTATTCATGTAACTGATTTTTTTTATCTAGAATTCAGACGAAAATTCGGTTGTAGGAACAGAAATATTTCTGTATAAGGTTTCTACTCAATTAATTGTTCTCAATTATCTGATTAATCGAGTTTTAAAATAGCCGAATATTGAGATGAACGTTTTCCCGTTCAGAGATATTATTTCTAAGTCATGAATTTTTGTCTGATTCCTACTCAGTTATATAAACGCGATTTTTTCTGTATAATGTAATGTGTAACATTTTTTAGTTACGTTAAAATAGCTGTTAATTTTTTAAGTCTCTCCTGATGTTTGTAATTTTTACACAGAAAAAATATTTTTATTTTCAAAATATCTGTATTTTTTATATGTAAATTTTTAAATGAGATTATATTGCGTTAAACGAAGGTAAGATTCTTCAATTAAATTATTTTGTATGACTTAACAAAGAAGAATATATTTTTATTACACAAAAATATAATTTTCATGAATGAGCAGCACAAGATATTAGACTGAGAACATGATAATGGAAAAATATATCATTATTATTAAAATGATTATGTTATACTTTATATATATGAGATTATTATAATATTTAAATAAAATTATATAATATTATTGAAATTCAAGGCTTTAAAAATTTTCTAACGAAATTATACATCATTGCTTATATATGAAGCAATTAATTTGCATATATATTAGTTTTAATAATGTATTTTTTTTATACATACAGGATGTTTAACGCAAAGTGTCTCATACCTCGGGTACATGTAGATTAAGTCAAAATAAATACAAAATTTCTTTACTATCTTGCAAATAATTACTTAAAATGTTAAATTATTAATTACAGAAGATTAGCGTATTATCATGCGCGATACAGTAGATGAGTTGTGATAACGTCGCCTGCCGTGTGTTTGTAAATTAGGTTAAACTGAAAAATCTTCTATCTTTCTGCAAACAATCACGTATATTTTTAATTATTAATTAAAGAATATCCGTAAGATCAGTGGAGCTATAGTCCTCTGAATAGAACGGCGTACAGTTTTAAAAATGGACTTGTCTAGTGCGCAGATGGTACATCTGTATTACCGTAGGCATAGTAGACTTATAAAAATATATGCGTCTTTTTGTATACACCTGCTTAAACGTATTTATGTGATAGGTAAAATTGAAAATTCGTGAAAAGAGAAATCTAGTCCGTTTTTCGAAACTAGTATTAAATGTCAAGATTTAAAGATCTCATTAAGACACCATATTAGCCGCAAATTGAGCATATAACGTGTATAACGTTTTATTATCTTTCTCGCATATATGTCTGATTCGCGAGAAGCCTCTTTTCGGTCTCTTCACTGTTGTTTACGAAACGCGAAAAGTAATTTGCGTCCCGCGATTCTCGCGATGAACTGCATGCCCAGTTTATTCTCTCATCTTAAAAAAAAAAACCAGTATCTTCGTACAATATCATGCTATGTTATTCTACGACACCCTATATACGTCACCTAGAAGAAGATTATCCTTATCGACGAGACGTCGATAAATGTAACGGCGCGTCTCTCGGGCCATAGTAACGCTCATTACAATACGCGCGGCTTTAATGAATGAAGACACCCCGTTAACGAATACGGCTACGTACGCGGGGCGAAGCCGTACTCGCTCTCTCGATGGTTTATGAAGTTTTCTTGCGTCGCGAACAGAGCCGCCGCGCCGTGACCACCGGCTTATCGTTCTCGACCACGCGTCGTTACGTTCGAGTCACGGGGTCCCTCCGGCGAAAAGCTCGGAACCGGTTTCGAGCGTACAGGATCGCGTTGGGTAGCCAGTCAGCTAGCCAGCCAAGCCAGTCAACTAACCAACCAACCAACCAGCCAACCAACCAGCCGGTTGTATGCGCACGACTCGCTACGACTTTCTAAACTTCCGTCGTGCGCGCAGTCCTGCGAGATAGGCCGTTGCTCTTATCGCTTTGATTTTCCAGTTAGACACCGTGACGGTGATTACCGACAGTAATTTTGACGAAATCGCATCACTGTGTCCGCCCTCGCAGGGACGAGGACACGGCGCGAGCGAGTTTTTCGGCAGAAAGTAAAGGTTACCCTTATTACACGCTCTGATTTACCGTACGGTACTCGCGCCGTGCGTGTTTCTATACGGACGACCGGCTGACATTGCGTAACGTTAGACAGAAACGTCTTGCATTCATTTGAATACGGATGCATGGCTTTAGTCTTATGGAATGTATAACGTAAATATTTCTTGGTTTAATAGAGAGAGAAGAGAGAGAGAGAGAGAGAGAGAGAGAGAGAGAGAGAGAGAGAGAGAGAGGGAGAAGGAGGAGAGAGAGAGAGAAGAATTAAATGAAAGTGAGAGGTGGACCAATGAGAGTTAATCGCAAGACATTAAACGGGATAAGTTCGGCTAATAACAGATGGAGAAAAATAAAGTTGTACTCTCTAAATTTTTTGGAGTAAAATTTCATTCAAAAAATAGAATAACTACCGGAGTCGCTTGAATTTGAACGGTTTTTTCTTCATATAGAACCAATTCTGCCAATCTAAATCGTCGAGTAAATATTTTCATTTGGGATTGAATCTGATGTATTTCACTGTTATGGGAATATATTCACTCTAATTGATTATAAAATTTACTCGTATGGAGACAGAATCCATTTTAAGCTTTTGTGAAACATTCACTCTCGCGATTTCGAATGGCGCTATTTCCTTCTGTCGCTTTGAGTGAAAATATACTTTTTATTCGTTTTAGGTGAGATTCTACTTGAAGAAATTTAGAGAGTAACGCACGTAACTATGTATTTTAACATACACAAATGTATTTATTAGCAGTCGGTTTTATGGAATATGTGCATGATATTGTTATAGTACAGACACTAAATGAACGAATGCAATTTCAAAATTCTCCTGTTGTTTCATTTAGTTTTTTGTTATTATGTTTCTTCTCTTTTTATTTTTAGATTGCGTAATACATGACTTTATGATACGATGAAACAATTTCTTTTCTCACTTCTGTTAACAAAAGTTTGACATTTCTTAAAGGGATAATTGGTACAATTGAAATTGATTTTCGATAATAGTACATTGAAACGTAATTCATCTGAAATGAGTGTTTTTTTTTATTTTGACAGTAACAGTATTTCAATGAGAGACAAAAAATGATCAGTCTTACTATAATCAGTCATTTTCGAAATCAGTCATCTTTTTGTTTTTGTTGTTCTAGTAAAAAAAAAACGATAATAATAATATGCATAAACGTTATAATTGTTAATATTATAGTAGTACTTATTACAAAAATGGCTCTTTTTACGTAACTGACTTAAAAAAAGAGGACTTAATATTCCAACGATATTAAAAATCAGTGCGAAAAAGACAAATTAGGTGACTAATCATATAAATGTATAAGAAGATTAATAATAAAAAAGGAGATTATTATTGACTCAATTAGTCATATTTTCATGCCGACTTTTAATATTGTTAGAATATTAGGATAGGACATAAGAATATTGAATCAAAATCATTTTATATTTTTCAGGATTTTTTGAGATTTTTGTTATAATTATTTCACTATATGATTATAGTCACAGACGTTAAATACTTTTCTATTTCATCAATTTCCTTTTCATGTTCGCTTTTCTCTGTTTCTCTTCGAGGCGAACTGAAATCCGCCGATGAAACAGTGCGTTCTATCAAGTTACAAATGTTGATTTAAGTAATTACGTAGAATAAACGGCGCAGACCAGATAGTATCTCTCGGAAAATAGTTCATACATTTATTGGACGTATATTCTGCAAATGTGCAATGTATCGTTTGCTTTGCGCGGATATTTATTTGTGTTTACAATCGCGGGAAACGGATATCGAAAGATATCAAATCGAATCTAGATGCGTGTACGTTCGTGTGTACGTATCTCGTTATCTTCCGGAGTATTATCAGAAACGATGCTAATATCGCTCGCGATTTCGTCGGAGAAGTAATCGCGATAAAGATTTCGAGGTAAAGGTAGCAGGTCGGGTGTCTAGACCGCGTGAACTATGAAATCTCATTAGCGCGCAATACAGCTGACTGCAACAATGGCTAATTAGACGGCGCGCCGTCTCGCAGTCGAGAAGTTCGGATAAAGACCAATTGCAACGAGGGATGTAAGAATCGATGCATACGATCCATGCTATTATCCGAGTTTCCATTGTTGCACCTTACAGGCGAATTATATTCTTTGATTGGCGGGAAGAGTTAGTTAAAGAAGAGAGAGAGGGGGAGAGAGAGAGGGAGGGAGGAGGAGAAGGGGGAGAGAGAAGGAGAAACAGAGAGAGGGTTAACTAGTGTGTGCCTCGCAACGTTTGTCGCGTCGGTTGAGCTCGAAGTTACTGACTTTTCGACTACCGCGGAGAATACGAAACCGTCCGCCTAACGATATAGAGTATCGTTCCGAGCACCTACTCGCGTCTCATGAACTTCCTTTGAATTTGTAATAAACAGACGTAACGTGAAATGTCACCAGAAGACGTTTATCCGTCGCGCGATTTTGGAGATGTGCGATATACTAATTAACCTTTGGAGTGGTGTCTAGGCTTGTCTGGCGAATTTGATTCATCCTTGCGGCACAAAAACCGGAGGTTAAAGAGAAAATACGCACGCTTCGTGCCGCGTTCCCAGTTGAATACGTAATAATTTCGTGAAGCGTTCGCGAGATTCAAATACGTTTGCAACGCACACGTATTTTGGAGGGTAATAACGATGCGTTCATTAACTAACATATAGAGTCGCGCGCGTCTAAGCTTGTTTAGCGGATCTACTTCGAGTTTGGTTCTCGGATACACCATCGATATATTGCGAACACAGTCGATTACTTGTTGTCGAAACTACGAAAATCCTGAATAAATATTCGCGGGGCGTTTAAATATCTAAATTATTTATATACATAATTAAATATCTACACAGAGCTCTTGACCCATCTAGTCTGCAAAAGGTAATCAGTTAAAAAGGCTAGACCACGGGTATCAATATAATTTGATGTTATTGGAAAGATAAAGTTTAACCTTCCCAGAGATACTGACACATACACTGTTAAATATTGGAGGGTCAAATTTAAACCAATTTCTTGAGTTAAATAATATTTAGTTATTTTTAACTATCATGTGTGTCAAAATTTACTATTTTAACACAAAACATGTGTTTAAAAAAACAACCACATCTAATCAACCCATTTAAAACAATATTAAGTCATTCTTTACTAAAACAAAGGTTATATTAACGTGCACATAATAAAAAATAAACTAAATTTTAATGAAATTTAATATATTTCTTAAGTTAAATTATTTAACTCCATTACATTAGTTAAATTAACGACATATTTAGTAGGAGCAGTAGCGACTTATAGGAATGGTTAAAAATAACTCAAATTGAGTACAATTTGACACTACGGATTTAACAGTGTATATGTACGTTTAGATATGTCTAATTTTTTTTTCCAATTTGAACATTGTCGATAAAATATAATATGAACGTTACTGTGAATAAATATTTACCACAAAATTGCACAATAAGGAAAAGAGAAATGTCCTCATATAAATGTCGTCATATATGTTACATACATATTTGTTATTTTAAATATATGTAACTAATTTTTTCTGACTTTAATAAATTCATTTCTGAAGAGGTTCAAGCAAATATATACGCTATATTTAAATTTTAATGGTTTTTATCTTAAAACACACCCCCGTTTCTACCACCTTACCAACTATATTGGCCTGCTAAATTAGGGATCCGATAAATGATATAAGAATTTTCTATGCTCTCTAATAGATTTTGTGGTATGCTGAGTTCAAATACGGTTACAAAAAGTATTTATCACTTTTGGATTTTTAAAAAGTTGAGGTTGGATTCTTTGAAACAGTTCATATTAATGATTCTTCATCTGTTACTTTAGAAGTATATATAGTTGACAGCTCCACTGGGGCTCAAAATAAATTTTTTAGTCAGTACTTTCGCTAGAGAAAAGAAAACTAAAACCTGCGCATCACTCTCTGGAATTATATATAATACACAATAGCGCTAACAACAATGTTTTGCACTTTATTCCTTTTTTCCTTAATTCATCTTTTCCCGAAAAAACTAACTATATGTAAAAATTAAGCGAGTAAAATGATGTATATATATATTTTTTAATTAGAGCACGATGCTTCGTTGCGAGTTAAGATGCTTGTTTTCAAACGACCGAGTTTTAAGAATAATTACATAAAGCTACTTCGCGTGCGTGTAATGTTCGTCAAAAGTGACGACAAACAGTATTCAGAAAATTTTGCAGTTTGCCAATTACCTTATGCCGCTTACGCGATTATCCTTTAGGGATAGACTGTCGGCAATTTCTTCGTCAGCATACGAAATTGAGATTTTGTTAGGAATTAGTGAGAGTTCTTTCTCTAAATTGGGCAGGAATAGATTTTAAGTAAATTTTTTATTATACGGCGATTCATTTTCTTCTGAACCAGTGTATTTCCGATTTGATATTCCAGTAGTTTTTACTCGACGAATATTCGAGATGTTATTTTCGCATCTCTATCGATTGGTAGCGCACACAAAGACTATGCGGGTTCGTTCAAACGTTCCGTTAAATTTTAAACCAGCTATCGATATGTAGTATCAATATTAAATATACAGGATATCCTAAAACTATCGTACAATATTTTAATAGCGTATTCCGGTGTTTAATAGAAGTTGAAAATTCTGACAAAAAAATGTGTCAATATCTTTCGAATTTTAAGTTAATGAAAAAGACGGCCTTTTCGTGACTCAAACTTTACAAAGCCAAGCAAATAACAAATTTATATTATTTAGCTAATTTTAGGGTATACTCGATCAGAATTACAACAAAAAGTTTTGTTATAAAAGTATAAAATAAAAGATACAAGATGTAAAACTAACGTTGAAAAATAGGAAAAATTGGGAAGTTGAAAAAGTTGAGAACTTGGAAAGTAAAAAAATTGAAAACTTTCGACTTCAATTAAACTCTAGAATATATCATTAAAGTATACGATAGTTTTGGAATACTTTGTATATGCGCGTATCCTTATCGATGATACTACCGAGTGTATAATGGAAAATACACCAACGCCGTACAAATATTGGCATACGTTTTGGTGAGAAACAGAAAACAGTTTCTTTTTCCATAAAGCTCTATGTAACTAATGTATATGTAAATAATATA